ATAGAAGGGGGAGTGGAGGTGAGAAGGTGGGAAAGGGGATATAAGTGGGCCAAATCATCGTCTTATAAATAGGAAGTCAAAATAGTGTATAAAACTGCAGAATAAGGACATATTTAAAAATATGGAAATAAATCCCATAAGAAAAAGATAAACAGGCTTGTAGAAATGCTCAAAGATGAGGAATATGTGTGTGTGTGTGTGTGTGTGTGTGTGTATGTCTGTATGTGTGTACTAGAAGGAGGGGTAGGGCTAGATATTTCTGTATTTCATTATAAGTATAGTAATACTTCTAATGTCTATTGGAAGTATAACATATGAAATCTTTTTTTCATGGATTACTTTGATAAGCATTTATTAAAAATCATTTGGGGAACAAGACACCTGGGTAGTCCAATCAGTTAAGCATCTGCTGTAGGCTCAGGTCATGATCTCAGGGTCCTGGGATCATGTCCTGCGTCAGGCTCCCTGCTCATCAGAGAATCGGCTTCTGCCTCTCACTCTCCCTCTGTGCACGCTCTCTCTCAGATAATAAATAAAAATCTTTTAAAAATATAAATAAATGAAAAATAAAAATCATTTCAGGGGCATCTGGGTGGCTGGGTGGATTAAGTGTCTGACTTCAGCTCAGGCCATGATTTCATGACCTGTGCTCAGCGGGGAGTCTGCTTGTCCCTCTGCCCCTCTCATGCGCTCTCTTTCTCTCTCTCTCAAATAAATAAATAAAATCTTTAAAAAATAAATAAATAAAAATCATTTGGAAAAAAATTATGTTATTTTTAAGTGACAGTTAAATTTTGGATAACAGATAGCCCAAACTTACCCATAATTAGAAATTTAATTATGTAATTCTAGTTTCTCTGACTTCAGGATCTTTAGTAGTTAATTAACATATGTAAAGTGCTAGGGAGTATTCTTTATGAAGGCATCTGGAGTGTGCCATAGATTTTAGTGTCCATTAACACTATGATGCCTACCTCTTAATTTTAGATTTGGTACTGCCCACTTAACTAAGCTATTATGTATGGCCAACAAATATTAAAGGACAAACAGAATAAATGATGCATGGCGGATGGCAGAGTATATTTTGAAAATGAAGTTACACTGATCTCTTTGTCTACATAAGAGATCTTTAAAATATAAGCTGCAATTTTCAAACTAAAAGAACAAAAAAACAAAACAAAAACTTCTAAGTTCAAGCCTACTTACTAAAGAACCAAAATACTTACCAAAGGCTTTTGTATTTGCCATGACCTATTACGCCTTTTGCTGTTTTTCTTGCCATTTAGAATTGAATTATACTTTTTGAACAATTAATATTATCAGTTACTTTTTCTGTATAACATATTTTAAAGATGGAGTTGCAAAGGACAAGTAAAAATTTTCTGTTAGCTACGGAGGGGTTATAGTAGCCAAATTTTTTATTTAAAGCAGAATTGCTGGGGCACCTGGGTGGCTCAGTTGGTTAAGCGACTGCCTTCGGCTCAGGTCATGATCCTGGAGTCCCGGGATCGAGTCCCGCATTGGGCTCCCTGCTCAGCAAGGAGCCTGCTTCTCCCTCTAACCCTCCCCCCTCTCATGTACTCTTTCTCTCTCTCTCAAAATAAATAAATAAATCTTAAAAAAAAAAATAAAGCAGAATTGCTGCTCATTGAGAGGGAGGGAGGGGTAAAGTGTAGCCAGTTATACATTTATAAACCCTAGGTCAGAAATAATAATATCTAACAACAATGAAATATAAAGAAGTTTATTAGAAAACATGTACTGGACACAAAAGCACCAAAATAACATAAAGAAGCCCCCCCTATTCATAGCACACTAGTTCTTTTCTCTCAGAATTGAGCAAAGTACAGAAGGGACCTTTCTCATGCAATCCTGGTCATGTCCTTGATTTGGACAATCACTACTGATTTTATGTTTTATTTCTGGGTTTGGATGTTGTTTTCTTGTCAGTAATGGAGATTTTCCGTCTTTTTCTTCAACTTAATATTGTACTTATAACCCCTTGGGTCGGTTCTGACTAGTTTACACCATCAGATAAATGTTCTCAGATTCTTAAATCAATTCTTCCAGAGGTATGGCCACTAGACAAATTCAATCTTTTTGGTTTATAGCTATTTTCAAAATAATTTAGAAGTTCCACTGTAACTCCTGACATATTTAAGGATCTCCTGTAGTTCTCATCATGTCTTTAGGGAACGTAGGGTGAATATTTCATAACACAGTCACATTTTAGTAAGTCTAATTGCTTGGATAATGACTTTAAACCCTTTCAATTTCCTTCTGAAGGCAGTATGTACTGTTATAATGCAACATTTTTCTGTTCCAAAGCTTGTGGCAGTTACAGAAAAATAGTAATGAGTGTTTCTTTAAATAGAACAGCTGTACTTGTGGGTTTTCAATGCTAATGTTCAGTGACCACTAATTTTATATCTTACCAGGCAAAACTGTATTTTATTCATTATGGAGTGAAACACATTTTGAGACTCTTAAGGATGACTGCATGAAATTTAAGGGCAAACTGATACTTGTCTGAGCTCTGCAGGACAGAAATTTACATGCATACTTTGAACAATTTTATTTTTACTATTCAATTCCTTTAATGAATTATGGGATTTCTCCTGGTTCTGTCATTTGGGACTTCAAGCTGCTTAGTATCCATAAGGAATATTACCAGAGATTACTCGGTACTCAAAGTGATTGGAAAGAGAGGCCTGCACTCGAGTACATATTCACAAAGCACATCTTAACACTCTAAATGTAATGGAAATCATAATATGGCTCTTTTGCATAGTAGCATTCCCATGACACCACGGGATGGCCCATCTCAAACTGCAAAAGAGATTTCTTTCAGAAAGTATGCAGGATTCTGATGCTACCCTCAAACATGTTCTGGAGTAATGACCATCAATAAAATCTTACTGTAATTCATAGAACCAGAAGATAATTTTGCTGGCACAAAAAATTATTTAAAAATCACACGTATCTCTTATGTTTCAAAAAAAAATCACATAATATGGGGTGCCTGGGTGGCTCAGTTGGCTGGGCATCTGACTCTTGACTTCCGCTCAGGTCGTGATCTCAGGGTCTCATGAGCCCCATGTTGGGCTCTACACTGAGCAGGGAGTCTGCCAGTCCGCTGGAGATTCTCTCTCCCTCTGCCCCTCTACCCACTAGCACACTCATGCTCTCTCTCTCAAAAATAAATAAATAAATAAATAAATAAATAAATAAATAAATAAAATCTTTTTAAAAAATCACATAATATCAACAACAGTTAAATCTTTTAAGATAGAGACACATACACACACACGTATGTATGTGTGTGTATATATGTATGTGTTTGTATACACGTGTGTGTATGTGTGTATCCATACAGAGACTTAAATGGTATTTCAATGACTTCTAAAGGAATGTTTCATTTTCCAATATCTTTAGGATCCCTATTTTCCCTAATTTTCTGTAATTTTATTTCTCTTTCAATTTTCCACAGCTGCCTTATAATATTTTCCTTTTTTGTTTACTCTGACAGCTTTATTATCCTTTCTTTTCTCCTTCCTAATGCTCTCTCCACAATTTCTCTGAAACAGATCTAATCAAGTTGTTTTTTGTTTTTTTTTTAAAGTAGGCATCATACCCAGTGTGGAGCACAAAGTGGGGCTTGAACTTCTTAGATCAAGACCTGAGCTGATATCAAGAGTCTGACGCTCAACTGACTGTATATCTTTACCCAGGTACCTCCAGATCTAATCAGGTTTTAGGCCATTAATCATATTACTCCAATAAAAAGTCCCTTGGTTCTTAAATCAAAAAAACACGAATATCATCGCAATGAAGTAGGGAAGTTGAAGGGGCTCCATTTTAGAAACCTCCATCTCTGCTGTTTTTCTGTGAGGCACCATTTACTCATGTTCCATATTTTGCCTCTGAATAAGCCAAAGCAGCTCTGTTCCCACTTGAAGGGGGAAGCAAGAAGGTTAATCATTCTCTGAGTTTTTGTCTTAGGTCCCAAACACCTGACAACATGTAACGAGAGCCCGATCCCAAGCAGGATCCAGGGTATTAGCTTCCAACAAACCTCAGCTGATAATGGCATCAATACCCCTACCTTCGGTCATTTATGGAATAACACCTATTATTCACCCAACACTTGCCTGTGATTGACCCTAGCCTGGATTCCTGGAGGAACACATACCCTATACCCTTTTCTAATATAAACCCTTAGCCATAGGCAACAACAAAACTCATTCTTCTCTCCTTTCTGAGTCTCTCAGATACTTTGTCTGCTATTCTCTGTCTGTCACTCACACTATTCAATAAACTCTATTTTCACTTTCTCTGGCTCACGTTTGATTTCTATCCTGTGTGAAGCCAAGGACCCTCTTGGCTGGTCCTGTGGGATCTTCCCCTGGGTTCTTGGACCCAGCCTGCCTACATCAGCAAGACAGTTTATTTGTTGTTGTTTTTTTTTTAATTTGGATTACATGTATGTATTTGTGTGTGTGTGTGTGTGTGTGTGCAGCTAGCTAGTTCTTTAAACCACAAGCTATACTGTAAATATTTCAATTTGAACATTTTCAAAGTAGAAAACAAGTGAAATGTCTTTGTACTTCACTAATATAAAACAAGAAAACCAAAAAACTTATCCTTTATCTTGCACATAAGATACTTGATAAATATATCAGTGAATAAATTTTAGACAGATATAATATCTCAAACAGAATTTGAGAAAGATCAAGTTTTTACATTCTGATAAAAGGCAAATCCTATAAATATATATGAATAAAGTAAATGAATTATTGTTTAAAAAGTTCTATTTTTCTTCAGATGGAAGATTTCATCTGAAAGAACCAGAAAACAAGGCAAATCTAGTCCTTCACTACTCACCGTAAGTCATAAGTACCTTTCCGTATACGACCTGGTGTTTAGTATCAACAAATACATTTAACATCAAAGGGAAAGTATATATAAATAGCAATTTATAATTTAAAAAAGAGTTTTACCAAAGACAGTCAGCTCTGCTGGATCACTGTCTCTTTCTCCCACCATATTGGTGCCAACACAGGTATACATCCCTGCATCACTTTTCCTGGTATTGGAGATCATCAATTTTCCACCACGGATCTGTTAAAAAAAAAAAAAAAAAGAAAAGAAAAGAAAAGAAAAAGAAAAAAGAGGAAGGGAAAAAAGAAAAGAAAAAAAAGAAAGGAAAAGAAAGAAAATGTAAAGTAAAATAAACAGCAAAGAGAAGGTGACTAATAAATAATTTTGAATATTTAAGCAGAACATCTTTTTTCTTAAAGGAAATAGCTCAGTGTCTAAGATACAAAACTTTCCCCCTATTTTGGCATCTGCATGTGTTTTTTCTTCTCTTAACTTCTCCCTCAGGATAAGCCTTCATATTACCTTTCTAGAAAATGCTTTTGGGCATTCTTTTTCTTTCTTGTCTGGTCCTGTTTTGACTTTTGTGACTGCTTCCACCAAATTCTAGTGGTTGTCTTCACTCTGCAGTAGGTTGAATGAATTGCTATTGATATTTGTCATCAGAAAGAAGCACTAGATAACCGTTTTTGGTATTATAATGAAATTGAACTGACGCAGAGGGATTTAACAAGCATTTACTGAGTACCTCTATGGGCTGGGCAGTGTTTTAGACATTTGAGATTCAGGAGTAAACCAAATAATAATAAACCTCTGCCTTCATGGAGCTTAAATTTCAATTTTTAGCATTAATTGTCTGTCTCACCTTGATGGTATGTATAAGATAATTTTTGAAGAGGAGGGCAGGTTTGATAAAAATAATTTTTTTAAATGATGAGAGTATGAGTTGGTGTAAATCATTGGCTTTAATAGGTGCTTCCTAATTGTTTCTTAAATGAGAAGCATTTATTGACCAAATAAACCAATGTAATACGTTAAAATGTCTATTTGTTAAAGAGCATATTGAAGCAGAATTAGATTTTTAGTATGTGTATCACCAACTCATGGCTTCTTTTCCAATGTTTTTCTTTATATTTATGTAATTCAACAATCTTAACATCACAATGACTGAATGTTCTTAAAGAGATAGGAGAGAAGAACGTGTTGGTTTCCTCTGTTAATTTTTATCTCACAGGCAAACAAAACCCATGTAGGTATGTTCTCAACGGATATATTTCAGGCTCTGAAACTTGTCATGTCACAGAAAGGGACTTTCAATTTCGTTTTTACATGGGAAGGAAAGACTGCCAACCTGTTCTTAATTATGTGCTGTGGAGTATAATAAACTGTAGGTTATAAAAATGGCCGTGGAGGCCATTTCTCCTCCCCCCTGAAACTGAGTTTGGCAATATAACTTGATTTGACCAATGAAACTAAAGCAGTGTTTCAGCAGACAAAAAGTGTTCTCAAACTGCGACTTGTCTTTCCTTGCTGGAATCTTGAGACCACCATGGGAACCAGTCTGAGCTGGTCTGCTGGAAAATTAGAGGCCAAGAGAAGAACCAGGATGCCCAGCTGAGTATAAGTCAATGGCCAGACATGTAAGGTTACCCTAGATCATCCAGCTGCCAGCACATCTTTTAAACAGGCCACAGAAGCATGAGAAAACCTAGCAAAGATCAGCCAAGCTGGCCCAGAATAAAGAAGTGTCATCTTACCCACAGAATAATAGTCTAAATAAAATGGTTATTATAAGTCACTGTATTTTGTGGTGGTTTGTTTTAAAGCGAAAATTAAATGATGCAAACATGAACTAGAAACCCTTCAACAGTTATTTTACTCTATCACCAGGAGTATATTTTCATGTTTGGTATCTAAGCACAGACCATTGAGAACCAAATTCTCCCTGGAATGTAGCTCCTCATGGTGTCAAGAGTTCAAGCCAGATTCACATGAATATATATTGTGATCTCTTATATGGCCTATTCGGTTATGATGTAACCACGATGCATACATTAAAAAATATCTTCATTATAAGATATTTTTAAAGATAATAGACCCTAGACTCTATGGACTTTTTATAGAAATGGCACATTTGTTCAGTTAAATGAGACACTATTTTAAGTAAAATATATTTATTCTCAATAATTGTACTGAATATAAAAATTATACTAAGAATAGCATCAGAAGTTTGAAGCATTATCTACTATTTCAGTGAACTGGTTCCCATAAGCATCACAAACAAACATTGACTGGATCCTCTAAAAATATAAAATAATTATATGCCATTCCCTTCTCTACCTCTTTACAATGTTCTGGGTGTCTCATTCCGATATTAATCAAGTGATGAACCTAATCATCAATATTCCTTGAAAGCAGACTATTTTTCTACAAGAGCTAAACTGCAGAATCAAAAAAGACACATTTACTTGGATTTTACTTTATACCTCTTAAACTTTTAAATGAATTCATGTAAAAAATTTAGTTATAAATATTAAATTTGAAAACTGGAAAAGGTGCTTGAAGTACTCATTACCTCATATTATTTTCTCTTATAATTTTGAAAATAAGTGCCAAAAGAAATGGTCTCATTAATATGGCTTACAGCCATCATTTACCCTTTATCACTCAAGTGAAACTACATAATCCAAAGATGCATTTGAGATGTTAAAAAAAGCTTTGTCATCTTTGTACTGCAAAGACATATATATCTTTACATATTCATACATATTTACATATTCATATCTTTTCATATTCAGATTGGTACAAATATTAATATATCATCTACACTTGCTTTCTATAATTTTTGTGTCTTTGAGGCCTCATCCTAAAGTTTTAGTTCTCGGTTTTTCTTTTTCAGTCCTTTCAATGCAGTGTGAATGGTCATTAGCATTCAGTACAGGTCTGCAATTTTATTGGCAATAAAATATATCCATTTGAAGACTTGAGAGTCAATCTCTGTAAGCATTCATTTTAATTTAACTCACACTTATTCTTTCTTCCTTGTCATCAATTCGAACTTTGTCTTTCTTCCAGTAGATGGTGGGTTCTGGGTGTCCCCTGGGAGGCTGGCACTCCAAGATCGCAGGTTCTCCAGCAGCCACTACGACATCTGTGGGATTTTGCCGGAAGTCATCTCGTAACACTAAAGAAAAACAATTGCAGTGAAAGAAAACTCAATGACAGTAACTTTAGCTTTCTCTTCCAAAACGTAACTTCACGTCTTACTTACTTTGTTCTAATAAAAATTAAATATTTACCCAGAAACATAGCCGTGCCCATCTTAAAACAGTCTAGGGCCAACCTCAATGTTCAACAGGGAAATGGCTGACTGTAGGATCAGGTATCTTTGCTATAAAATCTGCTTTAAAATATAAGAAAAGTCTAAGGAAAATAAATACTCATGATATAGTTTTGAGATTTAATACTCAAGGTACAAAATTGTTTATGCAGTATGATCCCATTTTCTATAAAGAAAAAGCATATATACATAATATGTCTATAAAAGCACGAAATAAATCATCAAGTTATACTTAAAACCCCAAAACAAGTCATGTGCACATGGTCTGTGAGCACGTACGCATATCAGTCTGGGAGGGGAAACGGGGTGGGGACTCTTTGAGAATGCCCTTTCTCATGACATGAATATAGACAAGATCCACACTGTTTTCATTACGCTTCAGAAGATGGACTCATTGTTCACCCTGCAACGCACTAACACCCACATACACAGGGCTACATTTTCATTCTCCGTGCATCTCCACCTGCCAAGCGACATCTGGGCAGCGTGATATTCAGAGCAGAGATATTCCTTATAGCAGTTCAGCCAGTCTGAATTTCCCCTCCTTTCATTAGAAGAACAGCAGGTTGGACCTCCATTGTAACCTCTGAAAATCTGGCATGCCTGGCTCTCCAAATGTCACCTGTCTTATCTGTGTGTATTTTTCTTTGGCTGGCAAGATGAAAAGCCTGGAGAAATGACTTGACCCTATCAGATTGCAGAATGCTGGGCTTCTTTAGCAAATAAACTATTTTAGGGGAAACAGTCAAAAAAAGTAGTTGAGACCGGGCCCATACCATACACCTCAACTACCTCTGCTTTTTCTAACTGCCTTGACCTTCCTATTCCTTTGTATTCCAACACCGACAACTTTATTTCCTAAGTGCATCGAAGGGAAAACACACACACACATGCACATACAGTGTCTTATATCCACGTCTATACATAAATTGGTTAAGCTGTTTGAAATCAAAATTAGGTAGCTTCTGCTAGCCTGTTACGTGAATCCTCTGCTACAAATGTGGATTGGGTCACACCAACTGCCTTTGATGTCCTATAGTGAGACCTACTTCAGCACTCTGCTCCTTTGTTGGGCAAAGTCTCTAGGTTAATTGTCATTCTCCAAATAAATAAAAATTCCCTGGCCTGAAAATAGCTCGCGAGAGACAACTGAGTGACTTTTAGGGCCTTTCTTCTCTTGTCTCTTGCAACACATCCTTTAACAGGGGTTTCCATCTTAATGAAGTCACGGCCTTTCCGAGATTAGAGAACCTCGTCTCCTATTGAAGGAACAGTAAGAAAGAATTCAGCACAAATTGCTCACTCTCAGTTTATAAGCTGATTAATTTACTGCTTTTGCTGCTAAGGAAATGTGTTCCATTTTAGCACGGTGAACTGCACATTTTTGGTTCTCTTGTCTCACTGGCAAGAGAGGTGTGATTTATATGCATAAGGATTTGCTTCTGAATGGGCTCAGAGAAGTGTGCATTTAAATGTGACATGCAGGCAGGGGGATGGGAAGGGGTTAACACTGTGGGTTCCCTTTTGCAGGTAAATCCTCCTGGGAAAGCAAGCTGATGACTCATTTATATTCTAAATACAGAACAGCTGCCTATTTATGCAATGTTAAGACATGCAAAAATATGGTAACAGAGTGGTGAGCACCCCAACAATATCCGGAACTGGCAACAAATGGTGTTTTGGCAGGCCCTCAATCTGTTCCAAAATGACACATCTGGCCAGTTGAAGGACCTTCTCTAGAACTGGTCTCCTAACAAATGACATGCCAAAAAGGTACTTAAGGCCATTGCAAATCATTCAGAAACACAGTGTTAGATCAATTTGCAACAAGCCAAATTAAGAAAAAAAAAAAAAAATAAAGGTCCTTTGACACGGAGGACAAAAAAGAGAAAAATATCATAACAAACTAAGGACTGCTACTCTTAAACAATATAACATGTGTTTATGGCATTCACAAAAAAGAAAATGACTCCAATTTGCAAATGAAGCCAAGAAATCTAACATCAACTGTAATTTAGGCTTTCAGACTATTCACCCAGAGAGTAGGGTGAGATAATAGTATAATTGGTACTGTACCCTCTTCAACAGGGAAAATGCTCTTTGGGGTTTGTATAGCATTCAGTTAATTCATTTTTTTGCTTAGTGATACCATTTCTTTTACCCTAAGTCTTTGAGGTAATAAAATGGGTTTCTTCTTTCTCTCAAAGAAAACAGTCAAGGGGAACACATCCTTTTCATTAGGTCCTAGCACAGAAGACCGAAAACTTACTCTTAGTGAAAAGTAAAGCCATTTTTACTCTTTTCCCAAACTGTAAAAAAGGATAGTATGTTCTGATATTTGCTAACATGTTTCTGAGGTTTGTAGATCCATTCCTTAGTATAAGCGAAATAAAATGAAATAGTATCTATTGTTTCCAATTTTTGTGCTAATTTTTCATTTCTGTCTTGGATTTTGCCCTATATTTTATTGCAGGTGATAAAGAAAAGAGAGTATTCCCTATAGTAAAGAATTCATGCATTTTGGATGAAGGGAACTAAAATGGTCCTGTAAATGTAGAAAAGCAAGGCAAGTCCAAATTAAGTCTGTATTTTTTTTCTCCTGAGCCCCTATTGTAGAAAGAATTGAGAGCGACATTTTTGATGTGGCTTGACAAGTAAGCCAAAGCAAGGGTAAGCAGCAGTATGTGTAATGTGTAACTAAAGCTCCAAACAGGTCTTTAAGTAGAGTGAAAAGAAATCAACCTGATTAACTGAGAAAAGAATCTGGTTACAATGATAAAAGCTTAGAGGGCAGTGGTAAGTTACGCTTTCAGAAAAAAAAAAAAAAAGATATAACAGGTATACCCTTTTGATACAGCATTTCCTTGTGAAGCTAAATTTAGAATACAAGGGTTCAAGTCTCCATGGGGGGAAAAATCTCATTGGCTAGAATCGAAATATTCATTTCTGTATATGAGCCAAAAACCACAAATGTTTGAGTTCACCCAGCTACTCCTAACCTAGATTAGATTTGCATTCTTTTTACATTGACATGCACTGTAAAAGGCGAAAGATTTATACGATCTGAAGAGAAACCAGAGTATTGACATGCACTGTAACTTAGAAAGTTATTCTGGAAGATCAGGAAGTTCTGAACTACTTGTGTGTTTGATAAAATATAGTTCATAGTCATGACATAAAGATTTGTAACAAATTAATTCAGTTCTCCAGGAACATATTGAAGAAAACAATGTGCTTGGCACTGTCCTATAAAATGGTTAAGAAATATATTTTTATTTTTTATTTTTAAAGATTTTATTTATTTGACAGAGAGAGACACAGCGAGAGAGGGAACACAAGCAGGGGAGTGGGAGAGGGAAAAGCAGGCTTCCCGCGGAGCAGGGAGCCTGATGCGGGGCTAGATCCCAGGACCCTGGGACCAGACCTGGGCTGAAGGCAGACGCTTAATGACTGAGCCACCTAGGCGCCCCAATGGTTAAGAAATATAAAACAAGAATGACATGATAATGCCTGTGGTAAGTTTTCTTCTAATATCCTTCAATGATCCCTCCCTCCTGGCACTTATTCTCTTGTGTCATCTCCTCCCCTTTACTGTGGGCTGGACCTAGTGACTTGTCTTTACTGAATAGATGATTGCAAAGTGATGGAATGTCACCTCCAACATTAGGTTATAAATGATTGTAACTTTCATCTTTTTTGCTCTCTCTGTTTCTGTGTCTCCCTCTCTCTCTTCATGGGATTCCTCTGATCATGTAAGATACCGTGTTTCTCAATGGAGAGGCCCATTCGACAACAATCTAAAGGCAGTTTCCAGGCAGCAGCAAGCAAGGGACTGAGGCATTCAGTTCAACAACCATGGAGGACCCAAATCCTGCCAACAACCACGTAAGCTTGAGAGCAGAAACTTTCCCATCTGCGCCTTCACATGATACCACAGCCCTGACCAACACCTTGACTGCAGCGTTATGAGAGATCCTACAGCAGATGACTAACTTAACTCCTATCTGGGTTCCTGATCCACAGACAGAGAATAAATGTTTGTTATTTTAAGTCATGGAGTCTTGTAGTTTGTTACATAGCAGTAGGTAACTAATATAATGCCCTACAAGAGTTTTAGATCTAGTTGTACCTTTAGAGCTTACATCTCTGATGCCTGTCTCCTCATAATACCATCTTCTTTCACCTCCAACTCCTCTCCTTTCTGTCCCAAATCAACAGTCCTCAAGAATTTTAAAAATAGGACGCCTGGGTGGCTCAGTTGGTTGGGCGACTGCCTTCGGCTCAGGTCATGATCCTGGAGTCCCGGGATCGAGTCCCGCATCAGGCTCCCTGCTCAGCGGGGAGTCTGCTTCTCCCTCTGACCCTCTTCCCTCTCGTGCTATCTCTCATTCTCTCTCTCTCAAATAAATAAATAAAATCTTTAAAAAAAAAAAATAGGACGCCTGGGTGGCTCAGTTGGTTGGGCGACTGCCTTCGGCTCAGGTCATGATCCTGGAGTCCCAGGATCGAGTCCCGCATCGGGCTCCCTGCTCGGCAGGGAGTCTGCTTCTCCCTCTGACCCTCTTCCCTCTCATGCTCTCTATCTCTCATTCTCTCTCTCTCAAATAAATAAAATCTTAAAAAAAAGAATTTTAAAAATAGATATTTCATGTTTTACATCTTTATGTATTTTATAAAATATTTTATATTTTTTACATTTTTATTTTATATTTTGCCAACAAAGGCAAGGCAAATCATTACTCAGACATTTCCATGTTAGTTTATTAAGTTAGATTAGCAGTAATAGTGAGATGAGGCTACGTGATTAAGAGACAAAAGATGTATTTCTGAATTACAAGGTACAC